AAATTTTAACTGTGCATATCTTTTTAACTTTTGTCCATTGTTCGATGTCGATAGGGTTGGTAAAATTGTACCACGCTATCGTGCCTAGGCGTGGGCCGACACCCTCCCGCCCGCTTGCAGAGCACCTTCCCTCTGCCGGGCATGCGGTGACGGGGGCTGTTGATCCTATACACTACGCCCCTTGCCCAAATCTATGGTGAGGTCCGGACCATCGACCAAAACCATGTTAAATGGTCGCAACTTCTCTCTCTCTCTCTCTAATTGTGCGTTTGTGAGTTCGTGGTTGTGTGGGATGCAGTGGTGCCCGCAATCGTGCCATTGCCCGAGCGGCCCGACGAGAATCTGGCAGCACTCTGCAATAGTCACTATTGTTTTACGCGGGACATTGGCTCGGGACCTACTCTTCATCTTCGAAGGGACTAAGATGAACGAAAACAATACAAAAAAGTTTAAGTACGGTATTGAACAAACGGGCATTCATTGCTATCTGTGTCCGAAAGAGACGGGTGGTCACTTGAACATAATTTGACCAAATGGGCATGGCCCAATCCATAGTCCTGCCCCCAGCCCTAAGCCTCAAAGTTTACAAAATAATAATAATAAAAGAATAAGACAAAAAAATAAATAAATAAGGAAATAATAATAATAATAATAATAAATAAATAAATAAAAAAAGAGAAAGTAAAAAAGAAGGAAAGAAAATCAAACATACAAAAACCCTCGTCAAAAAAGGGGCAAAAGGCGATGCCTCGTGGGTGGCAGGCATATCGTGCGTGACGCGACCCCACCACCCACCCCCCACCCTCCCAAACGGATAATCATTTCGCCGGATCGGCCGAACATGGCGGTCCCCACCGCGCACGGCGCCACCACGGACACACGACACACGACACATGCTCGTCCGCCTCGCCGGAACTCTAAAAAAATTGAGTAAGCACCCCCGCCACGTGAACCCCGCATGATGCGTAGGATCGAGATACATGGAATGCGAGTGCACCCGGTGCAATCGAGAAGCATACGGGTTACGTTTGTTTGAAATCGAGGGGCCGAACGAGCGTGAAGTGACGAGGATGCTTCGGCTGGGGATTGGAACGCTCTCGACGGTTTTTCGAACTTGCGAGAGGCCGGAATCTCGACGAACAACGTTCACGTGGGAGTCGCCCCTCATCGATAGTCGCGAGCTGTAACGGGCTCGGACATGGCGAATTAGGTCCAGGTAGACAAGTACATTGCCGCTCCAGCCGGCGAGGACACGGAACCATTCGTCACGAGTAACTCCGGAGCGATATCCAGAACGTCTATTCCCGGAGAAAGAAGTCAATGCGGCGGTTCACACCACGTGGCATTGACGTGTGGCGCTATGTGCAACAGAAAACGAAACAGGACCAAACGAGAATTTCAAAGCTCGAAATCAAGAATTTACGGAGACCGCATGTCGGGCGAGCAATGTTTTTTGGTCGGCCACATCGCGCCAGTCATGTAACGGGTCCGTCGGACCCCGATTTTCCCATTTTTTGGGGAAAATATTCTCATGGAAAAGATGGGATACACTTAGGGTTTTTGAACCATAATGCTACATACCATGTAGCTTTGAGCGATCTAAAGTTGGCCCGTGCACGTGCGGCACGTGCGTGGGCCGTCGCGGTTTTGGGGACAAAGTGTCAAAAAGACTACACGAAAAGGGGGCCTCCTTCATCTTATCCGAGTGCCCACTGTAGAAGTTTAGCTGCTGATTTAGGAAATTATATATAAGGAATATATAGCGGCGGAAAATATTTTTGAAAAAAAATTAGGCTTTGAAATTATCGACATTTTATTTTCTCGTACTATTTTCGCGTTTCTTTATTACGTTAAAGACGACAATTACCCACCAGGACGTCCACGCTCGGTACGAGAAAACAAACAAAAGAATCGAGCGTAAATCGGGGAGCTTATGTTTTTTTTTCATTTATTTTATTGTGTAGAAAAAAGATAAAGAAATTGTTACTAAGTTAGTTTTTTTTTTTTTTTTAAAAAGAACTTTTTTCGGCATACGAAATTTCGTGTCTTCTTTAAAGACAATAATCCCATAAAATAAATGACAATTGATTTGGGCTCCGTTCAGTTCCAACGAGGGAGGACTCTACTTTAGTTTTAAATAGTGATCTCGAAATCGAGATCCCCTTTAATTTCGTGGACTAGAGTTAGTCAAAGCTTATGGTGAAAGCTCTGATGGTTATGGCATCCGCATTACCAAAATAATGAAGGACATGTTCAACGAGTGGTTTTTCGTTTCCTTTTTTAAAGTGGACGGATAAAAAAGATGGACATATTGACTCATCGTTTTTTTAGAAACCCGACTCGACATAGGATACTCCATGCCATCGAGCTGTGTCCGAATTGTCGTTTGAGCAAACGCAAGGATCACATCGGACATTCATCAACAGTTCGAGGGACCGCATTGAACAAACTAAAAGTTCTGGGACGATACTGCACATTGAACCGAGCCAATGTTCGGGGATCGTTCACGTCGTTTTCCCAATCAAAAAGCCAGGATGGGAGACTAAAGCTCATCTCCCGCACGACCTATCAACTTCGTTCCGACACGAAAAATCATCGACATCCTATGGATAATCGGTGGTCCGAAAAAGAGGTGCGAGACGGAAAAAAAAAAAACTCCTGATAAGGAGTAACTATCACATGCTTCGCGAGCATTGCCTCGAGCGCATATCGACCATTAGATTAAAGATCCAAAATACACTTCATGCACAATAACCTCCTCCCTCCTCCTTTCTCCTATTTCTTTACATGGGTATATAGGCCAAACGTTGGACTTGAAGCATGCCCTTAAAAGGCTCTATTTTGGTTCTTATTCAGATCTTGAGATTATCGGAATGTAAAACTTTCAAAAGGTACTCTCTTTTCTTAAGAAAGAAAAAGATATAGGGTGTTTCGAAAGCAATGCTTCGAGCGAATATCAACCACTAGATCTAAGAACCAAAATACACTTAATGTACACTAACCTCCTCCTCCTTTCTTCTCTTTCTTTACATGGGTGTATAGGCCAAACGTTGGACCTGAGCAGATCCTTAAAAGGCTTCATTTCGACCCTTACTTAGATTTCAGAATCACTCGGACGTAAAACTTTCAAAGGATATTTCCTCTTTTTAGGAAAGAAAGAGATACATAATGTTTCGAGAGCGTTGCCTCGAGCGCATGTCAATCATTAGATCTAAAAACCAAAACAAGCAAAATGCACAATAACCACCACCACCTTCCTCCTCCACCACCTCCTCCTCCTCTCTTCTCTTTCTTTACATGGGTACACAGGGCCAAACACGACACGTGAATCATTGCTTCCAGAGAGAGGGGGGAAGGAGGGGGAGGGAGGAAAAGAACAAGAGGGAAGGTTTGAGTTGGGACAAGGGTTCTAGGTATACAACCAAAAAAACAAATGGAGAAAATGTCAACAGTTTCGATTTGAAAAAAGGAGAGAGGCCAAAGAGGAGACAGTGTTTCAAAGAGATGCGAGGCATTGAGGGCGACCCGTGGTCAAAGGGGGAGACCGGTGTTGTCCTCTTCTCCCACCCCCCACACCCTCCTGTGAAATTGACCCGAGTTAAGTTTTTAGCAGCAGCAGCAGGAGGAGCACTTTCCCTTTCTCAAATCCCACACACCCACCAACCACTCACACCCTCCCCGTTGGCATCATTTGATCCCCCTCCCTCCCCATCCAAGCCCATTTTTCAATCATATCCCCACCCCACACCCCCCACCCCCACATTGAATACCCTTTAGTACCCTTTTGGGGAAACTTGCTTACTTGGAATTTTTCTCCCTTTTTTTTTTCTCGAGGGAAAAATAATAATAATGCCGGCCGTCGATTCGGTGGTGATCGACCGTGGTCAGGGCAACCGCTGCCTTTTTTTTCGTCGCGGTCAAATTGGTATTCTTTCTTTTACCGGACGATGGTCGGCGTTCCGTTCGTTGAAACTGCGTTTGGGACGATAAAAGACGATTCGCCACGATTTGTGATGGCGAAATTTCAATCTTTTCCGGGTGGCCGTTGGAAGGTCTGTACTCATATCCTGCCACTTTGTAGCAAATGGGGCTGCTTAATATGGTTGTTTCGGAAACACTTCATCTAAGAACCACATGGATAGCTATAACTTCATCGGTCGGTGTCGCGCCTCATATATATATATATATATATGTATGTAGTTGAGTTTCATATTTGTGCATCGTCTAATACCGTAAATTAAATTACCGCCGTGTAAAGTACGATGATAACCACTGAACCGTACAGTATCTCTATTGCGATCGACTTGCTTCCCACTATGCCCACCCGCAGAAAAAGAACAAAATGTCGTGCCAATCCGTCCCCGTGATCACCCGTCCATATACCGCAGCTTCAACACAATTCTAACTTCGCGAGATCATCGTCGCGCCATTAAAACTCGGCGTGCCAAACTCCACAGCATAACATGTAACGCATCGTTGTCTACACGTGGTGTCGTGAAACTACAAACATACATTTATAAAAAGAAAAATCAGGAAAAAACAAATATATATTTGCTTTTTTTAAGGGCTTCACGATTAATCCAACAAAGCAATGGTTTTGCCTTGCTTTTCCATCCTCACGAAAAGCCCGAAGGCGAAAACACGTGCCGCCCCCGTGATCCCCGGAACGCGGAGAAAAAGCGCCCCCCCACGCCGAGTCAAGCTCGGCTCAGTGAGCCGCCGACCCGGAGTGGCACTCTCGTAATTACCCGCAATCCCCGTGGGCAATTACGCACCGCCCTCCCGTTTTTTAGACCCACCTCCCCCGTCTTCGTCACGGCGCGTCCTCCCCCCCCCTCCTCATGCACACAACCACTCCCCAACAGAACCCCCCGCGACCCCCGGCAGCGGCACCAGAAACACCTCCGAAATCCGCCGCCGCCGCCGCCGGACCGCCGGACCGCCGCCGTGAGCTGAAGGCGAGAGGGGGCCCGGCGAAGGGGGGGTAGAGAGGGAGGGAGAGATAGAGAGGGCGGCGGGGGAGATGACGTCGGGGACGCGGACGCCGACGTGGAAGGAGCGGGAGAACAACAAGCGGCGGGAGCGGCGGCGGCGGGCGATCGCGGCGAAGATCTTCGCCGGCCTCCGGATGTACGGAAACTACAAGCTCCCCAAGCACTGCGACAACAACGAGGTCCTCAAGGCCCTCTGCAAGGAGGCCGGGTGGACCGTCGAGGACGACGGCACCACCTACCGGAAGGTAAAACCTCGTCACCGTCGCCCGCCTTTTCCTTCCCTCCCCTTTACTTCCTTCGTGCGCTGCCTCGCTCTTCTTCTTCTCCTCTTGGATCGCGTGTCTCGATTTGCGCCGTCGCGAGCGGGTCTTGAAAAGCTTGAAATGCGACAGAGCTATGAGAAGCAGGTTTACTGCTGAAGATGCAAAACCCTCCCGCGAAAATCGAACCCTCAATCCGTCGGCTGTTGATGCGAACCTGTGGACTGCGACTCGCTTCTTCGTTGAGAAGTTTTAGATCGCGTCGGTGCGCGATTCCGAGAGTGTTCTTGAAAGCTGGAAATGGGAGCTGAGAGATGGACAGACCATATCCTAACTCCCTCTCTCTCCGTCTCTCTCTCTCTGTGTTCGCGAATTCCTCTTCTTCTTCGTACGGGCTTTCCCTGTTTGTCCTCTTTTTGTTGATTGGTGATGATGATGATGATGGACGGGAGCCGCGATCGATCTGCGGAATCGAGGCTTTCGCCGTGAGCCATCGTGCGCCGGAGCGCGTGTGTCCGGCGCACGTGAATGCATGTGGGCTCGAGCTCGAATCAGACCTCGTTTTTGCTTCGTCTTGGTTGGTAAATGTGCGATTACATGCGAATTTGTCGAGAATTAGCGGGAGATTGATCTGGGTTAAAGCTCGGAGGATGCTTGAACGAGGGTCAATTTGTTCAGTCCAGATGGGGGACGTACACGAAACACGAGAGCCCTCTTTATTAGAGATTCCATACAAACTGCTGAAAATTTCTGAATCTGAGAGAGACCCTTCTGCTTCTGCTTCTGCTTCTGCTGCAGAAGCAGCAGCCGCAGCGAAATTGTTCACTTCACATGACGAGAACGTCCCCTGCCTCTTTTGCCTTTGGTTTTCCCCCATTTCCCCCAGCTCCTCCTTTTTGCGTGGAGCGAAAATTCGAGGTGCTTTGATGGGCGTTTTTGTCTCTCGGGGTCTGGGATCTCAAGAACTTTCTCTTCCCTCGACGCGAAATGGAGCTCCTTTAACCCCCCCTTTTCTCGTTTTTCTGTTTTTTTTTCTTCACGTCCTTTGGCCGTGTCGTCTTTAATGACGCTGAAGAAACTTTCCCCTTCTTTTTTCTCTGGTGGGATTTTCTCGAGCGAAAGGACTTCGTTTTCAGAGTTTGTTGGGTTATTATTTTATCTCTCTCTCTCTCTCTCTATTTTTCATTTGGGAATCGCCCTTACCTGCCGGACACCACCCCTGCAAGAGCAGCAGCAGTAGTCTTAGGACCTGACGCACACAGAGACATCCCAGGTAAATTGAAGAGGGTTGTTTCGGTCATTGTGATTGAGCAGCCAATGAGCGCGAGTAACGTCTATTTTCCGTTCTTTATTTTTTTTTCTCATTTCCTTTTCCATCAATGATTATCCGAGATTCCCGGGTTTATCAGGATACAAGAGAGAGAGAGAGAGAGAGAGAAGTAATGGGTAGGAAAAGCTGCTTTGGGGTGGAGATGGGTTGAATTTTGAAGGGAGGAATGGGGGGGGGGGGGGTCCTCGGATTCCCCTCTTTTCTTTGCGTGAATTTGCAAGGCGGAGAAAAGCGTATGAAATGTGGGGATTGGGAAGTCTTCTTTCGATTATGGAAAATGATGGGTTTTTCTTCTTTTTTTAGGGATTTTTACTTTAATGGCACCATTTGTCAACCGTTAAAGATCGGGCTGTTTGACGTTGCTGCCTTGCTTTAAAAAAAGAAGTTTCGGGTCTTGGTCTGATAGTCAATTACCGTCTTGCCCTTGTCATTTGGCTAAATTTGCCCCCCTCTGCGCGAAAGTGCACGTATCTGCTTTCAGTTTCTCTGGCACCCCTTGAGCATTGAGATTGTTCCCCTCTCGTTGCACTGCTTGGTTTCCCATAGGATGAGAAGAAATTCTGTAAAGAAACTCCAGGAACATGATACTGAGTTTACGTTGAAGCATAGAAGTATGTTTAGACTTTACAAGCCACAATTACAAGTCAGAAAATGGTAGATTAGCTGCCATAAGCACCGCCTGCTTTTGAGGCTGATAGGTATATTAGGAAGTCTATTATGGATTAGGAACTCTTGCCAGATTTCCCGATGACGAGCTTTATCGCATGGTCTCCAAAATGTTACCTATGCCAGATTTCTGGATGACATGCTTGTTGCTTGGTTTTCAAAGTTTTTCTCTGTGAAAGAAGGGAATGTCTCCCAGAAAGCATGAATTAGTAAATTGTAAAATTTGATTAAATCAAGTGATCATCGGTGTGGCATCTCTCAAACGAGTTATATATCGAGTTCAGGATTTTGATTTGTCATCCCCGAATCTTCACATGCATCTATTCCGGCAATACTACTTTAGATGATTGTTTGATGTATCCATTTTAAATGCTGTGCTCAGGGATGCAAACCTCTGGAACGTATGGACATTATGGGAGGATCAACATCAGCAAGCCCATGCTCCTCGTACCACCCAAGCCCCTGTGCGTCCTACAACCCTAGTCCTGCTTCATCTTCCTTCCCGAGCCCTGCCAGATCACCATACCCTGGCAATCCCCATGGTAATCCTGACGCGGATTCTCTCATTCCGTGGCTGAAGAATCTTTCATCAGGCTCATCCTCAGCCTCTTCGAAGCTACCCCACCATCTCTTCCTTGCTGGGGGCTCAATAAGTGCTCCAGTTACTCCTCCATTGAGCTCTCCAACTTCCCGAACCCCCAGAGCCAAAAACCACTGGGATCAAGCCACTGCTTCCATGGCCTGGACTGGACAGCATAACTCTGTCTTCCCCTCATCCACTCCGCCGAGCCCTGGCCGTCAGGTCTTACCTGATTCCGGATGGCTTGCTGGTATCCAAATTCCTCAAAGTGGGCCATCTTCTCCCACATTCAGCCTCGTTGCCCGAAATCCCTTTGGGTTCAAGGAGGAAGCTTTTTCTGGTGGAGGGTCCCGGATGTGGACTCCTGGGCAGAGTGGGACATGTTCTCCAGCAATTGCTGCTGGTGCTGACCTCACATCAGATATTCCCATGTCGGACAGTATGGCAACAGAGTTTGCATTTGGGAGTAACGCAACAGGCTTGGTGAAGCCCTGGGAGGGCGAGAGGATTCACGAGGATGCTTCTGATGATCTTGAACTCACACTCGGGAATTCCAGAACCAGGTAGAATCATGAGTTAACTGGCTGGTGGGGTAAACATCATGCTGCTGAGGTTTGAATTCCCTCTTGGCCTGATGATATGACATGGTCAATGCAGATAAAAGGCGAGTTCTCTTTGGATGGGTTGGCAACTTCTGTTTTGTGCAAATTTCTACTTTTTCACATGGTTCAAATCACGGTGTTGCTGTAGTCATGCGGGCTGGAATTGCAGTGTTTAGGAGCAGCTGTTTTTCTTCTTTTCTCCTTTTTATTTCCCTTGGAAAAGGATAACTGAAAATTAAGTTATAAATATTTGGCTGGCTTCGCTCCCGAGTCAAGTTCATTTGGTCCACATATTCTTTCAAATTTGTGCAAGCGGAGAAGCTCCGGAATCTTTTAACCTCTCTTGTTTTTTCTTTGCGCATGGCCGGTTATTGGGCCATTGGTTGCGAAGTTCAATCCATATAATCTTAAGAGTGCTCCCTTGCGCAGTGCGGTGCTGGAGAGGTTTCATTTTTGCAGGCTTCTTGGTTGGTCAGCTGAAAACTTGTTATTCCAAGATCTCTAAGTACATGGCAGTGGTTCTAGATTTGAGCTGCGACTTGTGTGAGAGCTTTAAACCAAGGACGCTTCCTGATATGGTTCGCTAGGTTGTTTATCCCAACTTTGTTGCGGTTATGGTAAACAGTTCTTGAGCTAGTTCAAGTGCAAGTTCCACACGAGGTGCTAGCCAAATCGTCATAGTTGGGCAGGCCGGTAGATGAACGAGGCTATCGGCCGTTAGCCATCCGAACAATCGGGGAGCATTTGCCTTAGTGAACCGGTGTTCCCTCTTGCATTGCCAATGTCTTCAATGAATTCAACGAGCAACAAATTACGGCCTAGGGTCATGCAGTCCATGTTGGCTAGTGGTTTCCCTCCCTCTGATCTTTTTCTTTCTTGACAACAGCTCATACCTACATACCCCCTTTCGTTTCTCAGGTCGATCTTCGTTCGGTTTCTCCATACCTACATTCCCCCTTTGGTTTCTCGTGTCAATCTTCGATCATATGTTAGGTCAAGACACGGTTTTCTGAAGAGAGCGCTTTTTTCATCCAAGTCAAGTATTGAGCCACTTCACATTCCTTCTTCACGTTACCACTTTCCTGCACATGCTCAATTCCCTCACCATTCGACTAACAAGAGAATTCACATGGGAACATGATCTAGCACACGACGAGATAATTAACACGAAATAGCAATGATCTGTATACACTACTTCGAAACAGGAAGAGCAGCGGTTGATTTCCGCTACACTGCATTGACTCGAGTCTAATGCGCAGTGCCAGTACTGAACAGGATCTAAAGAAGAGCTGTAAGTCGGGTCAGGACCACGCAAGCCTGTTTCTCTTGGTTCATCATGAACAATCACGCAAACATTCCTCCATCATTTAGGACCTGCCCAACCAATCTTCAAGCAATTTGAAAAGAAGGGCATTTTTTTTTGCCAACATCACTTTTCGTCTTCCCCGATACCTCGAGAAAAACAACAAATATGAAGTGGATAGCTTTATGTACATCCGAGAGATTGATCCCAGCAATTACAACTATTTACATATTCCTCCAGAAACCCCTTGGGGAAGAGAGGGAAGCTATAAGTTTGAACATGCTGTACACTTGATAAGAATAGACAACTTTACGGTGTGGCAAGAATTGTGGCAAAGAACTTCCACAGGCAGTATCGGGGACGATCGGCCGAGTTGTACAGCACTTAATTTGGTAAATCACCACTCCAGCTTCTGATACATGTCAGTGAGCGCATTGTAAAGGATGGCAGCAGCTGGTGGCCTCGGCAATGAGCCAAGTAGTATGTCCAATGCATTTATAGACTGGCTGCCGTAAAATCGGGAATTTTCTCTCGTCCGCGTTGTCACGACACTGCCTTCAAGCGAACATCCAACAAAAGCACCTGCAAATCATTTCATGCAAAAGTCGAGAACAATTACAGAACTTCAGAAAGCGGAACGAGCCCCCATGGACTGCTGGCAATGAAATGAAAGGACAATGAGGGATGCAAACTAGACCTCTCCAACTTTGCACTATGATTGTCTCGGTTTAAGTAAGATCTATGAAAAATCAAGCTCAGTTGTTCTCCCAAATGATCGCTTATACAAAAATATCTCTGCAGAGGCTTTCTCAACTAATGTCTTTCTCATTTCCCCTTTCTTTGGCACTAAGAAATGGGCAACAAGCGAGCTTCTCAAGAAATGCTCTTTGTAGAAGCTTTTTCAACCAATGATCTAATCAAAACGGCCTCACATAGCTTGAAAAGGTAAGGGTATCATCATTTTATTAAAATATATAAATAGCATTTGGCCAAAAGCATTTTAAGTAATCAAGAATGTTCTTTTATATGACTGCCTAAGGACCACTACCTATGCCATAAAAGCTAGGACTCCGTACCTCACCTCAGCAACAGAGACAAATGAGGAAGAAAGAAAGTAAGAGAACAAATCCTTCACAAAATGAGCAGTTTTTCTATATCCCATGACCGTTATTGTATCCACTTAGCAAGCTACTAAATAAAAATAGAGAAATTACTATCACATTAAAACGGTTAATATCATAGGATAACCCATTCACCTCAACATCCTCCACTGGTTCAACTGTTGCCAAGCAGTTTTTGGATATACAATCTATGTTGTTTTGCATAGCGATGTATACGTACCCCCAAAATCAGCTCAGAGGACAACTCCAGTTCAAAAGGAAAAATAGCTAAATAGGTGAGTACCTTTACTGCAGCTGTACGTATAACAAGCAGCATAGCCACCATCCCCTGCTCGTACATCAGCTTCAGCAGCCCTTCCAAAGGTACCGACTGCTGCACTCAAACCAGCCCCAACTGATAAATGAGCAGTACCACTAAATGTCTTCACAGCCTCAGTTGTTCTCAACACTATTATGAAGTCCGTCAATTGTCCTCCAGCCTGCAATCACCCTTGACTGGTTACTATTGACAGGAATAAGGATATCTCCACATCAAATTATAACACAAAATCAAACATTTATTGCGGGGATAATCTTTTCATTTATGTATTTGATTTTTACTATTATTCTTGTTATGTTTTTGGGAGGAAGGGGAATGGAGTAAAGAATTTCTTTAGTTGATTTTTATGTTTTATCCAAGACTTCTTTGCTCGAGCTTAAGCCAAACCGGCAGAAGCTGTTAATGCCAAAGAGATGCTAATAGAGAGGGAATGATTATCAGGGATACAATGCAATCTCTGGCTCAGGGACTTCTCCCACTTCCACAAAAAAAAAAATCAAATTTAGAGAAAGGGAACGGAGATGCAGAAAAGAACTTGAAAATTGAATGAAAACACATTAATCAAAGAAAAAGTTCAAATCTCTTATCCTGATAAATACTGTTCTTAGATAGAGTTCCAGAAAGGGAGAAACAAATGGCACATTCCACGAAATAGAAGGATGACAGACCAGACATTTACAAAGGAAAACCCTCACAGAGACCATGGAAATGAAGCACACGATACTTCAAGCATTCCAGATGGAGTCAAAAATTAAACTGGTGTTTGTTATCTAAAACGATCAATTTGAGCACGTTGATCCCCGTGGTTAATCTGCAAACTGTATGACAGAGAAAAATACTTCTTGGTTTTGATGCTTGGCCCTTAAGATTGATGGAATCAAATCCAGGCATACCAGAAAACAAACCTACCTGTGCTCCCCACCCAATTCCCAATGAAGAAATTGCAGAAGGTGGAGACCATGAACCATCTTGCCTACGAGCAACCACAAGGCCGGTTCCAATATTGTAAGTTACCATCATACCAACTTTCGCAACAGTTATTATTGCAAGGCCTTTCGCTTGTCGTAAAATGGTATCAGGAATTGCCTTCTCAGGTTTTAGTGAACCCACCTGAGCATTCAGAACGCATCATATAATAAGCTTAATAACCACATGAGAAGTGCCAGAGAACCTAATTTTAATGCCAAAGTAAAAAAAAAAGGAAAAAGAAAAGGCAAGACAATTAACTTATTTCTGAGAGAGAGAGAGAGAGAGAGAGAGAGAGAGAGAGAGAGAGAGAGAGAGAGAGAGAGTTCTTAATTACTTTATCTTGCACCGATAGTATGAAAAACTCTTAACGGAATAGTTTTAATAAGATCTCAAACATCTCTAAAATAAAATCACCACATCACCGACGATAACAAGAAAATGGCTTCCCTTGTCAAAGATCAAGTCCACAATAGAGAGCATTTATTTTTCAAGTAACAACAGCATTACTAGCCAACTGTTCTAGGATATACACAGATGGAATCATGAGGCAGACAGTATCATCTGAACTTTACCCCTACCTTACTATAACCTCGGATTGCGTTTGTTGCCTTGTAAATCTCATGTTCCATTGATTGTCCCCATGGAAAATTGATCCAGGATCTCAACGTACTAAGGTCTGTCAGATCTTGGGTCGGAAACTGAGAAGCATGGCTTACTTGATCCATTAGGTAAGGCTGGACAGACTCAAGCCGCACGCAGCAGACATCACACACTCTCTGGGGATCGCTAGTCCGGAACTTTACAGGCAACAAGCTCCTTCCTCTAGAGCACTCGCCACAAAAAATCCCTCCACAGAATCGGCAATGATGCCTGGAACGCATGATTGGATGAAAGCGCACGCTACACAGCATACATGCTGAAGCGCTGCTGTCTGCCATCCATGTTGGTGGCTCTGCCTCAAGAATTTCCCTCACATTTCCAAAACTGGCCTCAGTGAGAGTTTGAGCCATTTCTTGCCAAGCTTGCTCGAGCAGATGAGTAGACATCCACGAAAATTTACTACTAATATCACCTGAAGTAAGAGCACTTACTTTGCCTCGGGCTGCGAGTAACATTTCAACTAATACATCCCACATAGTAAGCTCCTTTTCTTCCATGACGTACTGGTTCCACCCCAAGTCCCCTTCCGGAAAAAACCCCCCATTTGAGTAAAAACTTCTAGTCCAATCTTCTCGATGATTTTCCAACATAGGTGGACAGGAAACAGGTATCCACATGCCTGTATCTTCCTGCAGTGGTTTATCATAACAGAAGTACTTTCCAGGCTTCTGATTGATATTCTTTGAATCTCCTTCCCTACTGCTCTCCTCGTTACTGCTCTGGCATGGTTCAGCCTCACATTTTGCAGCCGAAGTCCTGTCCCACGTAGAATCAACAGTGGCTATTGGAGTATCATGAATCCATAAATTGCCAACGGCACCTCCATCCTGTCATCAGTATTAGGGGGGAACAACAGTAAGTTTTCCTAGTTTCAACTTATTTGCGTCAATATCCACAAGTAATAATCTTCAGTAGAAAGCTTGCACAAACGTACACAATTTACATCAAGCACTAAAAAGCCAACTCTTTACACATGAAAAAGTACAGCATTCCAGAAAGTTTGGCTGCTAAAGAAGGTGCACAACAAACTGTCCAATAGACCCTTTTAGCCTCTCGGGCTCAACATTCGCCTTCGGTGAGTGCGTGACGAACAAAACTGGTCCAATTTCAGTCAGCATTGGAATATACCAACATCCACCCTGACAGAGCTGCTTTCTCTCCCAACAACTAAAAATACAACATAACAGGAAAGCAACGCAAAGCCAATCGCTATCTGATGATCCGCTCGTGTGTTTCATGTGTAATTGTCAAGGCTATAGAACGAAGTGCAGAGACAACCAGCTCTGAAAAATTTTCAAGAAAGAGGGGAAGCATCAACCATTTAAGGCAACCCTAAGTTTATGAACAATTCTTAGACTCGAAACTAGAATTGTCTTTTCCCGATCCTCATGATACGATAAAGTTCAATTGTACTAAACTAATCAAGACCGAACCTTTTCCACTAGCACATGAAAACCCATCATTCGCAATCACATAGCTAGCCCCAGCATTATATACCAAATCACGCACACCTTTCTTCTTGCCCCCTCGCTAGCTCATGCCTAAAATGTATCAGAGAAGGTCTTGCCCACACGAAAAACATCAGTGTCACACGGCAACTTGTCGTCCCGCCAGCACAGCAAGACAATCAGAATTCAGAAAGAAACACCAGACAGATTCTCTCTGCCCATAAGACAGAATTCCAAACAACCCCAGATGTTCCCAATACGCAGTGAAATTGCCAAGCCCCTCGCATAACCAACAGATACCCCGAAGATCACACCAATTCACCAAACGAAAGCGAACACAAAGAGCTGGAAGAAAAACACAGAGGCCCACTTACAGGCAAACTAGCGGGAACCCGGTAAGCCTTATCGGGGACGACGGAGCTGAAAACCCCGGAGCCGCCCAAAGCATCGGCCTTCGGAGCTTGGTTGCCGGGATTCGAGCTGACACCCTCCATGGACGCGCGATTCAGGAGCTTCCTTCGACGAACGCCGACAGGGTCGGCATACACGCACGCACGCCCGCCCCCCGGCTACGATTCGAAGAGAACTAACCCAATTTGGCGAACGGGAAAGATCAATTCAAAGGGATGGAAAGGCCCCTCTTTTGTTCAGCGATTCGATCGAACGAAGATGGAGGAATCATGGGTTCGTCGAAGGCAACCGGTTGATCGATGATCCAGCGACAAAGGCGATGACTTGTTCGGAGATTTTCGTGTTCGTTTGAACTGGAGGAGAGAGAATGAGAATGAGAGAGGAGATGTCAAGGAGTCATTACGTTTTCTTTGCGTGGAGTCTGTGAACTTCGATCGGCAGACAGCCGGAGGACGGGGGTTGAGGCCCCCCTATTTTAACGAAATTGTGAATTCCTCCCCTGAAGTTTTGGGTATTGTCAGATTTTACCCCGGGTATTTTCTGATAAATGAGCTTTGTGGCACTTCTCAATCTTTAGTTACGAAATTCCCCATGCACCAAACATCACTTGGTCGTCATGGAATTGACATTAGCTATCTCCAAATTTCTTCTTTTTAATCGTACACTGCCATCCTTGATTTTTTTTTTTCAACTTTAGTTTTCGAACTCTTAAAGATTTATTCTAATGTAATTCTTTCTTTTGGATATACCAACACTCTTAACTGATGTAAAAATCGATTCTATTAACTTGCCATTAATTTATATAGCTAGCGTTCATATGACGTCTTTGTCATGTCTCTTTTTCTCTTTGAATTAACTACCATGTGGCCGCAACTTGATTGCCCGCCACCTTTTAACACATATCCCTAGCCTGGAATACCTCGTTGCTACTTATTGCCATCGATAGTGGTTGCTACATCTCCATCGAATAAAAAATTCAACACCACCAACACAAAACTGAACCTCCATTGCCAAGATTGGACTCAGAGAGCACCACGAACTTAGCCCCCTCCGCCATAAGTGCCATTGTGCCCGTCGCACCATTGCCACCGAACTTGTCCATTGCTAAGCTCATCTATCGTATTACGATGGACAAACAGATTTAGATTTGAGGTTGGGTTCTCATATTTGAGTAAGCAAAATCGAATTTGCGGTATTGAATCCTTGATTTGAAGTGACGCCAACTCAATCATGGTCATTATCTCCATTAGAGAGATAGATGGTCCGAGGCCGAGCATTATCAGCTACAACGGAGCACAATAAATTAACATGGCGTTGATGGTGGCGACCCACAAATATTATTACAATGGGCCTGCTATCGAAAACGATGACCGGAAAGTCACCACGGCTCGCCGTCACCAAGTTGCTAGAATTGTCCGGAAAACACGCATGACAAATTGGTCTATCACATTTCAAACCAAAAGGTAAAAAAGATCAGTACCTCAATTTCAAATCTTAGTTCAATTCTGTCTAAAAATTCATAAAAATTTTGCCTAGGTTGAAAATTTAAGTGTTGCAAGTTTAATCCTTCACAAATAACTAACGAACTTGGTACTAATTAGTGGTAGTCGGCTACATACTTCTCCACAAGTATCTAAATATCTATTATTAGAATCATTAAGGTTGCGCATGGAAACCATTCTGTGTCCGGGAATAGATTCTGCTCAGAAATAATTCTTTTTTATTTTGTATTCGGAAATAATTTCTAAGCATTTGAAGGCGTTTGGTAACTTCTTAAAATTTCTATTCTTAAAATAGAAAAAGAACAGAAATGCATTGGTAACTATACAAATTTTCATTTTATTAATAATATTTTGAATTTTTTAATATTTCTTTTTTTTTTCCTTTTTTTTTTCTTTCCCTTCCCTTCCTTGGTCATGGCCGGTCGCCGGCGACTGGCCATAGGCTAGGGCAGGCAAGGGCGTCGCGGCCCTCGTCGCCGGCCTCGTCGGTCGCGACGGCGAGATCGGCCGTCCCGGGCTGGCGGCGAGATCGGTCGCCACTGAGGTTGGTGTGGCGAGGTCGGCCTCGCCACCCGTGATCTGGGTGAGGTTGAGCCTCGCCCTTGGCTAGGCAAGGCCTCGCCGTCGTGGCCACGAGCTACCCTCGCCGGCCATCGGCAAGGGCCGCGACGCCCTCGCCGGCGGCCGGCGGGTGGCGAGCGGCAAGCTGAAAAATAACAACAAACCAATAAAAAAAGAAAAAAAAGAAGAATCAGAAAATGGAAAAATTGTTTTAGAATCAAGAAGCTACTTTTTTTTTGCTTCTTAATTCAGTTTCAAAATTAATTCTGGGAATAATTTTTTGCAAAATTGTGCCCAGACACAAAAAATTTAGCAAATGAAATTTTATTTTAACTGATTTTGAGAATAAAAAAATATAAATTTTTATTATTTGGCAAGTTGCTAGACGGGCTCTGGGTAGCTCAAAGATTGGATTTTTAGCCAACAATTACTCGGCTCTCTTTTGGCCCAAAAAACCAAGATTCTACTATTCATCTGGAGCACAACAGAAGTTGGAAGAAAGGCAGAGATCATCTTCCAGTTTTCTGCAACACCGACCCATCATCAATGGCAGCAGGGACCAACACACTCTCCAACAAACTCCCCATCCTGATCCTCTTCTTCTTGACCCTCTTCAGCCTCTGCCAGTTCTCATCTTCCCACGTCACCGGTCCTTCAATGCCTGCCAAGATCTCGTCGAGCCGCCATCTTGTGTCGGTTCGGAGGAAGAGCGTCCCAGTGCCCGAGTGCACCAATCTCGGGTCGAGGCCCGATTGCGCCCAGAACTCGCGTTGCCGGTGGTGTCGCAGCGAGGCCCTCGACGACATGTGCTTCAGCAAGGCCGAGGCTTGGCGCTTGCCTTCCCAGGTCTTTCTTTGCGATTGATGGTTCTTGATCCGTCGTCTCCACGACGTCTGGTCTTCTGGGTCGAGCAAGATTGCGGAGCAAGATCAGTAAATTTGTCTGATTGCATGAGCTTGAGAGGAGATTAGGGAGTTGGTTTCTTGTTTTTGGTAGTTTTGTGTCATGCCCAAGTTTTTTTGGGTTCCGTTTCTTTGTTTCATCTCTGTTTGTTATAAGAGGTTTGAGAGAGATTCGAAGGAGCGTCAGGATGTCCCGTGCTTTCAGTTCATGAGCTGATGAATTGGATGCATCTCTTGTTTGCTTCTGAATTTGTTTCGTTCTTGTTTTTTTTAGAAATCTACATGATCTGGTGAGAGATTGTAGAGGGTTAGCTCTTATCAGCTTTAGCTGTCTTGGTGCAACATTTACTTGTAAAATTGGAACTTTTCACTGCCTGTAGCCAAACCATCATCGCAATGGAGTAGATTTTTGCCGAATTTATCTCATTATTTCCGGAATTTCAAATCCCACGTAATGCTGTGGAATTGTATGACCTCAATGGTAAGTACACTTCCAGTTTCAAATCTTTGGCAGAAATTACTACATGGTGTGAATTGGAGATGTATCCGTTACGCAGGCTGATGATTTGTTTTGCCCAGACCTTAGTTTCTTCTATGAGATGGTTATCTTTCTATGTTTAAGAGATGGCTCCAATGGGTGCGATAAACCAAAGTGCGAAATTCGAGTATGAGAAATCTTAGAGTTCTGACACCTGCAAGTTTCTTGTTAGTCTCTCTGGTTAGATCTTCACATGGAGATGCATATTAAGTGCTCAAATGTCATTGAGTAGACATTAGGATTTTATTCTTGTTCTCTTTTGTTTTGTCCTGCTCGTACCAGTTTTTGTCATTCAAGTCTGGGTTTCCTTTTCCTTATTTCCTTCATAAGCTGATGGAGAAGGAATGACAGATCTACCAAGTATTTTTTTCGTAAGCTGTTGGTAGCAGTTTTAGGCGCGTGATATGTTTGTCATATTATGCATGCTTCTGAGATAATAGAAACGAGGTAGAGGATAAGCATGTTGTACTGCCATGCCAATACATTCTGTGAAATTTTTCATTCAATCATTCAGCTTTCTGAAGTGAGGAAGTTTCAAATCCGGAGGAGAAAACAAGCATGAGCTGCATTGGATATAACTTTGTTATTTCTTTCATCATTTGTTGTTGATTTATTTTGGTTAGCATGTGCAATTACTATTATACTGTCCTGTACATATTCGAGTGGCTCTTGCACATATCTATGGGTCCTGGTTTTTGCTGGGTTTGGTGGGGGTGGGTACAGGGTAGGGAGGAAGGGCAAGGTCAACCTTTCCATCATTCATAAGCTTGTACAAGATTGTAAGATTTTTGTGGTTTGTGATTGCATCTGTGTTTTGCACCAGAGTCGTACATCGACCAGGACGAGCTAACCTCAAGCTGGATTTTGAAGTCCTTCATGATTGTCCAAATTCCCACGACTGTAGCAAGATATGTTGTTATTGCAAAATTCTGGATGGAGTACTTATATTTTGGCAGAGTTTGTTGTTTGACCACGATGTTTCGTGGTTTGTGATTGAACTTTCACTTACAGGTGTGGAATTGTAGCTTTCAAAGCATTAGCATACTAATTAGTTTTTTTGGTGTCAATGGTAATGCATAATACCCTGATATTGGAACCAACTAGAGTTAAGTTCTTTTAAGCCTCGGGTCGGTTCGTTTTTTTTTTTTTTTTGGTTTTGGACACCCCTACAGAGGAGGCTTACTCATCTATAGCCAGTTGGAGTTCAATGTTGGCTCTGGTTTTTCCATTTTGTTTCGATTAGATTGTTTGTGAGTTCTTTTCATCGCAAAGACGAGTAAATTACGCTTGTTAATGACAATATGGTGTTACGAGGTGACCAAATTTACACTGGTCCTGTGGAACCTTGGAGAAATATTAACTTTTTCTTGTACAGGAGATATATGAACTTGATGAACTGGAAATGATACATGCTTGAGATTGAGACATGAAAATTTGCTTCATTGTATGTCTCAGTAGAGTTGATGAGGTAGATGTTCGTATGCTTTTGTTAAAGTTGACTGCTTTTCATTCTGCCTTGATGTTATCCACTCCTTTCCAAGGAGGGAAGTCAGAAAAATCAGCATTTACACGTTGAGGTGGAGTTAGAAAAATTAGCTGTCATGTTCTGTACTTGAAATTGCTTTAAGCGTGTCTGAGATGTAATGAAACAAAGCAATTTTCGACAAGTACCTTCACTTTTATCCACTGACAGATCCACTGATGTTGCTACACGGTGCCTACATTACGGAGGTCTCTGTGTGCATTTTAAGCTCCTGAAAAGTTCTTGCACGCAATGGCATTTGCCGATTGTTATAGTCTAGACTTAATGTCTTCTTGACAATGTTCTGAGATTACATTTTGAGCTGCTCAGATCAACCTCACCAAAGCCGGTATGTTATCACCTTGAACTTGTGCATGACCAAATCCGCTCTGCTGGTGCTGTTCTCTGTGTACATGAAACTTGAGTCACGGAGGTTCTGTTTCTTGTGACTAGTATGGAAACACCATACCTCTTCTGATATTGGGAAGCTAGTCCTCCGTCCTCTGCTTTTGTTTTTTGTCTGAGACTCTGTCCTCTGCTTAACCGTCCTTTAATTTGCACATCTATGAGATCATGTGAAGGGTTTGACACAGTTAGTCCCTGCACAGACATGCTCCAGTTCCTTGCATCTCCATCCAATTATTTGCAATCTTGATTGAGAAAAACCAATTTGCATGAGTTTGATCTGTAGAGATAATACGAGTATCGTCCTTGTGTTAGTGTATGGGATTTCTTCCATAGTACAGGAATCAAGTTTTGAGGAGGTTCTCGATGTTCTAATGTTCGCTTATCGCACACCACTTTTCTCTGGTGCAGCTATTTTCGTCGACACATACGGTGTGGGTGTAGATAGGCGAAGGAGAGCGACATAGTTTAATCCGTAAAACAGAGCTATCCATTACCCTGAAAAGGAAAAGGATTGCTCTGCAAAAACAATTGAACCTCCCGCAATCTGTATTACCTAGTGGATAAGTAATTTACAGAAGAAAGGAGAGAAAAGAAACCGCTACGGCGCAAGTGATTAGTGAATAAATAATGAATAAAATCCAATTAATTTTTGCAAGCTCTGTTTCTGAATCTGATTGGAATTGAACAATCCTCTGTTTGTTCAGTTTACCAGCAGTTAAACAAACAAAAGACAAGCAGTCACAATGAATCACACTTCCAACTTCACATCTTCTTCAGCTCGGTACCGCTTCACAGCCTCCCTCATATCATCAAACCCATCAGTCCCTTCAAAGAACTTAACCAACTTCCCGAGCTCGACATCGCTGAGATCATTGACAAACGGGCTCACAGGGATCGCGTTCTCCGGCTGAAACATGTAAACATTCCGGTTATCGTCGACGAGCACGGCCCTCTTTAAGTCCCTGCCCATCTTGGACAAGTTCTTCACGAACTTCCCATCCACTTCCTCGCACGAATCTCGGTACAGCCGGTGCGATATCAGCGACCTTTTCTGGTCGAGCCGGTCGAGCACCAGTGAGGCGTACTCTTTCAGGCCGGCCGTGAAGATCACCAGTTCGAACTTGGCGCTCATGACGCGCAGGAAATCGTCCACCCCGGGGCGCTTAAGCACATAAAAATTCAACCTTTCACCGTTTATCGTCGGCTGGACAACGAAATCGAACTTCTCCGGAGGTGGGTCAGTCTGAGAGTGGACCAGCGTCTCGTCCAGGTCGAGAAAAACGGTCTTCTTGGCGGGTGACACCGGCGGCGGGAGACGGTAGTAATTCTCGGCATTGAAGGAGAGGGATCTGCATAAGCCGCCCCCGGCAAGGGACGGCGGCTCGTCGGCGACCTTTCTGAGGACCTTGAAGCCCTTGCGGCGGCTCGGCGTGCCGATATAGGCCAACTTGGAGAAGATCTTGATGAGGCGGCGCTGGCACGAGTGGAGGGACTTGTTGATCGTCGCGATGAAGGAGCCGGCGGCTGCAGCGTCCTCGACGGGGGACTTCTTCCGGTGGCGGCGGCCTCGGCGGCCACGGCAGCAGTCCTTGATGGACTTGGTCGGTGTTCTTCTGATGATTCTTGACACCATCTCCGGTTCTTGATACGAGAGAGGGAGAGGGAGAGAGAGGTGGGGTGTGGTTGGGAATTGGAGACGGTGAGGAAAATGAGAGGCGTTGGTACTGGCTTTTTTTGGGGGTGGGGACCTTGATTTCATTTCGAAAAACGGTGGCTCGGTGCAACGGTCGGAAAAATCAGGTTCGGACAGGAGGCTGGATTTGCCACGTCGGCTGTAGGCCCCCCCCACTCATGGCTTTCCACGTGTCCAGCTGGTCCCACTTGTAAGAGATTTTCAAAACTCCCTCCCTTCTCCCTCCGTTGCTCTCCCTGCTCTTTGATCCCAACTCGTCGTCTGCGTCCGACGAGCTCTCGGATCCGCTGGATTCTCCGGCTCGTTCTTTTTATAGACCCGAGCTGAATCTTCCGCGTGTGCAGAGGATAGGGTCCTCTCCTTCTTTTCGCGATTGCGCTGGATTTACCTATTCTCGGACTGGAAACCTCATTTTAGCCAATTATTTTGGTCGACATGTGCAATTACTATGCCTTGCACAAGTTTGAGTGGCTCCTGGTTTTTGCTGGGTTTGGTGGGGCCAAAGGTCGACCTTTCCATCATTCATAAGCGTGTGCAAGATTGTAAAGATTCCGGTGGTTTTGTGATCGCATCTGCATTTTGCACCAGAGTCGTATATCGATCAGGCCCAGCTAGCTCGAAGCTGGATTTTGAGGTCCTCCATGATTGTCCGGATTCCCATGACTGTAGCAAGATATGTTGCTATCGCAAAATTCTGGATGGGGTACTTGTATTTTGGCAGAGTTTGTCGTTTGGCCACGATGTTTCGTGGTCTGTGATTGAACTTTTCACTTAAAGGCGTGGAATTGTAGCCTACAAAGGCATTATCATGCTAATTTTGGTTTTTATGGCGTCAATGGTAACGCATATGACCCTATGATGTTGGAACCAGCTAGAGTTAGTTCTTTTAAGCCTCCTCTGTAGCCAGTTGGAGTTCACTGTTGGCTCCGGGTTTTCCATTTTGTTCCCATTAGATTGTTTATGAGTTCCTTTCATCGTGAAGATGAGTAAGTCGGCTTTTGTTAATGACAAAATATGGTGGTATGAGGTGACCAAATTTATACAGGTAGTATGAAACCTTGGAGAAATATGAATTTGATGAACTGGAAATGATGCATGAAATTCGTATGCTTGGGATTGGGACATGAAAATTTGCTTCGTTGTATGTCTCTGTAGAGTGACGAGGTAGATGTAAAAATGCTTCTGTTGAAGTCGACTGCTTTTCATGGGGCCTTGTGGTTATCTACTCCCTACCAAGGAGGAGGGAAGTCGGAAAAATTAGCATTGCACGTTGATGGAGGGAGTCAGAAAAATTAGGTGTTACGTTCTGTACGTGAAACTGCTTTATCAGTGTGTCCGGGATGTAGTGAAACGAAACATTGTTCGACTAGTACCTTCACTATTATCTGCTGACAGATCCACTGATGTTGCGGCGCAGTGCCTAGATTACAGAGGACTCTCTGTGTGCATTTTAAGCTCCTGAAAAGTTCTTGCACGCAATGGCACTTTCTGAAGTTATCATCTAGTCTTAATACCTTCTCGACAATGTTCTGAGATGACATTTTGAGCTGCTCAGATCAACCAAATTACCAAAGCCGGTAATGTCATCATCTTGAATTTGTGCATGGCCATTTCTGCTCTGCTGGCTGTACTCTGCGTGTACATGAAGCTCGCATCACCGAACTTCTGTTTCTTGCTATGAGTAAACAACCACCCTAACTCTTCTAATACGCGAAAGCCAGTCCTCCGTCCTCTGCTTAACTGTCCTTTAATTTGTACATCTATTAAATGATGTGAAGAGTTTGACATGGTTAGTCGCTGCACAGACATACTCCAGTACCTTGCATCTCCATCCAAGTATTTTCATTCTTGATTTGGAAAAAGAAATTTGCATGAGTTTGATCTGTAGAGACAATGTGAGTATCGTCCTTCTGTAGTGTGTGGGAATTCCATAGTACAGGAATCAGTTTTTGAGGAGGTTTTCAATCTTCTAATATTCGCTTAGCACACGGTCTAGTTTTCACTGGTGCAGCTATTTTTTGTCGACGCATATTGTGTGGGTGTAGATCGGCGAAAAAGAGCTACGTAAAATCCGTAAAATGAACCATTCATTACCTCGAAAAGGAAAAGGATTGCTCAGTACAACAATTGAACCTCACCAAATTCATCACCTTGGTGTGAGTCAAGCGAGTTCTCTATGACTGAGGCTCAGTTACTTAGTTTTGTTGGTTTTTGTCGTTTCAGTTGACAAACCGCCAGTGGTGGATGGAAGCCCCAAGTCCCACGAATCGTTTCTTGCCTTTGATTGGTACTCCCTCGTAGAGCTCGAGCCTCCCCTGGTTTTGCAAGAATTTGTTAATCATGGTATAATTCTTCATTTCTGTTTTGAGGGTGCCTGTTGCTAGTTGCATACTCTCTGACAATCATCACATCATGAAAATCAATCCTCTGACAACTCGTGCTTTGTTTGTTAATGGTGGTGCTCTCCTAAGGTATACATCATTGGCGAGTTTGCAAAGGTTGTTAGGCGTCTCTCTACCAAATATCAGGAGACAGGAACTTTCTAAAGTTAACGGAGTGTTTCCATTCCCAGGGTGTCCTCTGCTGCTTCATCAGCAGAAGATAGCAGATCCTGACCCCGATGTTGCTGGTTATAGATATTGAACTGCTTTTTTTGGGATGAATTTGATACCTTTTAATTTTTGATCTGATTAGATTTCTAGTTGACTGTCCAAGGATGCGAAGGGCAACACAACACCGATTAGCAAGTCCGTATTACCGCATAGTTTAGTAGATGTATTTCAGTCAAAAGCAACTGCTCAGTTCATTAGTTAGCATCTCAGTGCAAACATCTTTATATGGCTTATGTACTTTTGCAAGAATTATAGTTTTACATACTATAATTTGTGTACTAAAAGTTGCATTCAATATTGAGATGGATTAGGCATGAACAACCAAGAGGGGATGAATTGGTTGCTACAGCCAAATTGAATACTCTTTCGCGAGTGCTGGACATCATGTAAAAGGTGCACTAGTGTTGTACAAGCGTGTGCACTTGTAGAAAGCCACAATGTTCACTCATATAGAAATTAAGATAGTTCAAGGGATAGAAGAAACGCAAATGAGACTTAGGGTGCGCATAAATACTATTCTCGTGCCGGCGCTATTTACGAACGAAATGATTTTTTTGATTCTGTGCTCTGTAAACAATTTCGAGTATTTGAAGGCGTTTGATAAAGCGTCCAAAATTTCTATTCCTAGAGTAGAAAAGAAACAGAAATGTGTTTGGTAACTACACAAAATTTCTGTTCCCAAATAATATTTTAATAATATTTTGAATTGTTTAATTTTTTTTCTTTCTACTTTCTTCTTTGGCCATGGCCGGTCGCCGCGATCGGCGACCGGCCACGCCCAGGCCGGCGAGGGCGTCACGGCCCTCGCCGTCGCGACGGACAACGAGGCTCGGCCTCGCTCGATCCGGGCGAGGCCGCCTCGCCGCACGGCGAGGGTCCGGCCCGTCGCCCTCGCCGGCGAGGCGACCGACTCCGCCCGCGGCGGCCGGCGAGGGCCGTGACGCCTCGCGGCTCGGGCTGTGGCCGGTCGCCGGTGCCGGCGGCCGCCCAAGCCAAGGGAAGAACAACACCACAAAATAAGAAAAGAAAAAAAGAAGAAAAAAACTGATTCTCAAAATTGTGCCGAGAAACAAAAAGCAACTTTTTTTACTTCTTGTTTCTCTTCCAAAACTGTTTCTCGGCACAAATTTTTACAAAAATGTGCCAAGGAACAAAAAATTTACCAAACGCATTTTGCTCCCAAACTATTTCGGGAACAAAAACAGAAATTTTTATTGAGCGTTCAAAGCCTTATAATGATTCGGCCTCTTCGCTTGGCCTACTCCTCTCTCCCAGCTCTAGCATCCCCTAAAAGGCTGGAATCTATTACGTACAGATATGCTGCTTCTACTAGATGTTTTTTGGAGTAGTTTCTACAGACTCAAGCACCTCTCACAACTTTATATTACTCTCTTTTCATATTACAAATATTCACACCCTCTACAAAGAATTACAATCATAATTCACTCAATTTTGCACAAAAGAAAACAAGAGAATTCAATGGACCAAAGAGAGAGATGTTTGGGAGCTTCTTGAAATGAACCACTTTGATCCGTTTAAAAAATGGTTATACCACGAAAAACCCCAAACCGATATATCTGTAATAAATTTACCCCAAATTAACTTTTTGACCACAAAAAAATCCCAACCTAGTATATTTTTGTGACAAATTTACCCAAAATTAATTTTTTGACCACTAAAAACCTCGAACTAGTAGGGAAAAGTGTCAAAAAAGTCATAAACCTTTTGCATTTGTGCCAATTTAGTCATAAACCTTTTTTTGGTGTTAATTCAATCCTAAACCTTTTGCATTTGTGCCAATTCAGTCCTAAACCTTTTTTTGGTGCTAATTCAGTCATTTCGGCCAATTTTGGCCGGATTTTGCTGACGTGGACACTAGCAGGCCGGCAGCCGGTCACCGGCGCTGACGTGGACAACTTCAATCATATTTTAATATTTTTTGAATTATTTATTTATTTATTTATTCTTTTCTTTTCTTTTCTTTTTTTCCCTCCCCTCCCTCCTTCCTCCAGCCGGTTGCCGGATCGGCAACCGACCAGTTGCCAAAGGCCGACGAGGTTGTGCCTCGCCCAGCCGCCGGCGAGGCTCAACCTCACTGGATTCAGCCGCAAGCGAGGCCCGAGCCCTTGCCGGAGGCTGCGAGGTCGAAGGCCTCTAATGAGGGCTCGAGCCTCACTAGCTGCTGGGTGAGGCACAACCTCGCCAGATTTGGCGAGGTCCAGCCTAGCCAACCTCTGCCTTTAGCTAATCGCTGGTCCGGCGACCAGTTGGAGGAAGGAGGGAGGGGAGGGAAAAAAAATAATTAAATAATTAAAAAAATTACAAAATATTATTAAAAGTTGTCTACGTCAGTGCCGGTGACCGGTTGCCGGCCGGTCGGTGTTCACATCAGCAAAATCCGACCAAAATTGGCACAAAGACAAAATGTTTATGACTGAATTGGCACTAAAAAAAGGTTTAGGACTGAATTGATACTAATGCAAAATGTTTAGGACTGAATTGGCACCAAAAAAAGGTTTATGACTAAATTGGCACAAATGTCAAAGGTTTAGGATTTTTTTGACACTTTTCCCCGAACTAGTAGATTTATGACAAATTTACCCTCCGTTATATT